TATATACAATTTCGTTGATATTTTCTAAGATAAAAGTTACCCCTTTACCTACCAGACAGCATGAAAATCTCTAAAAACGGTCAAAAAGTGATGTATAACGTGGTCCAATTAACACTGGCCCTGAAAGCTTTTAAAGTTATAAGATGGTATTCACATTCGCGTTCTTTGCCAATACTTTAAATCTACAATAATACAAATAAATCAATGCGATAGCAATGTTATAGAGAGGAGATTACTTGTGTATGTTTAAAATGAGTACACTTTTATGTTTGATTGATGGAGAAGTGACCGAACTTGATTGGTATCTTTCAGCAATGTCTTGATTTTTGTCCCATTTCAATTTATACTACAATTACTTCTTCTTATAAAACTGTAAAAAAAAAATTTTAGAATTATTAAATCTTTATAAATAGACATTTTTCGATATTAAAGTGTGGGTTCATACAAAAAATAAAACAAATTTATTATCGAAAAATGGCACATAGTATATTATGTACGTATTGTATATTACATATAGTTGATAATCATCGTTCAAGTTCGTATTTCTAGCTGAATTACCTAAATTATTTTCATCATCACGCAATAGTTTATTCATATATACTTTGTATTTTTTTGTTCTTTATATGTACCGTAAAAACACATTCGCTTTTAACGTTTATACATTTTTTTTCTTTAAATCTTGTTTTTTAAGCTTTACAGCACTAATCACTCGATTTTTTCTTGTAGAAACGAAACGCAAAAACAAAATAAAAGAATATTAATGGGGAAAGAAAAATATTGCGATGTGTTTTCGACGGTTTCTTCTCGCCCTCGTTTCCTTTGTTAACTACAAAAATATATCTTCATAAAATGTCCAAACAATTTACAAAATCCGGTTAAGGGAGGGAGGGCGCGAATCGACAGTGTGAATTTGCATCGTAACATTTTTTTTTCGACAATTTAATTCATTTTTTTGAGCGAAAAGTTTGAAAATAATTTGCTGCCGGGTTATCTCTAGATTAAAAAAAAATGTGTCTCTTTGTTTTCTTTATAAAATCGACGAAAGTCTTGGTTTGCTGCCGGCGCTTTGGCTGCCCCGAATGGAATGGATTCTATTATTTAGTTTAACTATAAATTAATGAAAACAATCGAGATGGTTATTTTTTTCTTCAATATACTATGTTGATCTTTTTACGAATTATTGCAAGAAAAAAAAAACAAAAAGAAAGAATTAAAATAAATCGGGGGGTGATCTTTTGTGGTTTTGTTTCTTTAAGATAAATAATTTTAGTGTTTATGTAAACAATCATAAATATTAAAGATAACTTACTTTAATAATAAGAGAGCACGATTTTTGTTTTATTTTACCTAAATTTCTTATAGAAATTAATTTAAATAAATAGTAAAATTATTTAAATCAAAAAAATTCAGTTTTCACCCCCTAAAATAATATTAAATAAAATAAAAACGAAAACAAAATTTTCATTAAAATAATAGTTTCAATCTGAAAAATTGCGTTTCTTCACATCATTTAATTAATTATTTATTGTCTATTGCAGGCTGTCAATTTTATCCTTTTCCTTTTGAATACTATTGTTTCTTTTAAATTCTTTCTTTTTAAATATAATTTGAATTAATTGAAACTATTAACGCTTCTCTCTTGGCTGTAACAAATTAAAAAAAAATAAAACAATATAAATACGATTCACTAATAAAAAAATTAGAGGGGAAAGTACTAAAGACGAAATATTACATTCCTTACTAATTGCTAAAAAATAAATCCTAATAAAATAAAAAGTTATGAATAAGTTGATGCGTTTACAAACTAAAAATAAAATAATTATAACTTAACATGTAATAAAAACTAAAAAAAGTAAAGGTACAAGTATTTCTTAGTACAAGTACCTTAAATAAGTAGTTGCACAATTTTTTTTATATGATCAGAGAAAAAAATAATTATAATATAATAATTGATAAAAAACGAAAAAAAGAAGAAAGGTAATAATAAACAGTTCGGTCGATAATCTATAAATATAGAACACTTCTTTTAAATTAAAAAAAAAACGATCGCTTATTTCTTCTTTTCATTTTAAAATGAACTCGTGTTCGCGTTTTTTTAACACGAGGCACAAAAACTATATTTAAATATTTACAAATTTGTGACACAGGGATTAATTAAAACGTTATTACGATTTTTGCCAAAACATTCTTTTCCATTAAAATAACTTAATTGGCAAAAATGTAATAAACAAAGGGATTTTGTCGTCGTTTGATGTTGTCGTGCAATTAAAGCGAAAACTAAAAATTCCGGTTACTAATTTTATTTTTACTGGCGCGTTTAGATTCGAAAAAAACAATTCGATTAATTGTCTCGAATTCGAAGCATTAAAAAAGATAATTATAATTATTTTAATTAATATTTTTGAAACGATAAATTAATTAATTTTTAATCATTTGGCACATAACTTTTTATGATAAAAATGCCTCAAAATGATTTTTTTAAAATCATTTTAATCTAATTGTTTTCTTCGAATCCGTTCTTAATTAAACCACACGATTTTTCTTTCTAGATAAAAAAAATTATTATTTTAGTGAGAGAGAGAAAATAGAGAGAAAAAAATGAAATCATAAATTACAGTATCACTACAGAATTCCCTTTTCTTTTAAAAAAATATAATGTTTGTTTATAAAATGATGGATTTGATGAAAATGATGCGAGCCGCTTCTTTTGTACGATTATGTGTATGTACATTGGAATTTTTCAACTTTTTTTAGTTCGTTTTTTATTTTTCGTTCACTAGCAATGCTATTGGGGCTGCCCTGTGTTATGAGGCAAGTTTGGTGGGGGGCCCTATAACAAAAAAAAAATACATTAAAATAAAAATGTTTTAAAAAAAGTATTCAATACCTACAGATATTGCTGGATAATGTGGCGCTGTGAGCATATGATGAGAAGCTGGTCCCAATTTTGGCCCGTCTTCAGCCTTTTCTTCTTCTCGTCGTTTTAAACACGCCGCTTTAGGATTCAAATTTCGTTCTAAAAATTATAAACAAACATATTTATTAATTAATACTGCTATATTTTACTTAATAAAAGAAAAAGTTAGATATATTTGACCTTGATAATTTTAATATATGACAATTATTGCCCTAGATCAGTGATAGTAAATTTTAAATTCATTATTAAATTATCCAGTTATCCGTCGAAATGTGCCAATATCATTTTCTGAACCCAGAATTAAATTACAGCTTAAAAGCTACAATCTACCTGTCACTGAAGTAACAAGACTTACTAACAAGAAAAAATATCCAATTCTTTTACATCTTACTCCGAATGAATAAGTTAAAAACATTTTTAACAATAAGGAAATCTCTACAGCTAGAATAATCACTGAATAATTCCTCAAACTGCTTTAAAGCCCACCCACAAACTTCTATACAACTATAGAAGCGACCATACAGAGCTTTAAAAGAAAAATTCTCGTCTGCAGAACTTCATACTATCAATTTTATAGTAGTCATCCTAGATCGAATCAACCTCGAAGTCATAATAGTCCTGTTTTGGTTCAAGAGTTCTGAACCGTTCTGCGCATTCGGATAATATGCAATATGTATGCGTGTAATATGTATATATTACCTCCACCAATGTGGTTGAAGGTAATCGCCATATAATAATAATAATAATAATAAATGACTTTATTTTTTTTTTTTCACTAGTAATACAAAATAAAAACAATGCTTGTAAACTTAAAAAAGAAACAAAAATACAAAAGCGAGAAAAAAAAAATAGGCGAAGTTCGGTCTTAAACCGTTTTTCAACTTAACCATGAGAGAAAAAAAAAATTTATTATGGAAAACAAAAGTAAATCAAAACAAAAGCAAATTAATAAACGACTATACAAACTAGAATTAACTGAAGCGTGCACATCAAAAATAGTAAATAAATAAGAATAATCCGTAAGAATGACAACAACGTATGTAGGTAAAAACAAAGGCAAGAAGAAGCACAGAGAGCTCTCAACCTGCATCAAATAACAATGCAAAGTATTTCCGTTTAAATGAGTTCTGAGACAATGATTTTCTGATGTCCAATGGAATATTATTGAATATTTTAGTAATCTGGTAACTAAAGCATTTTTTAAAAAATTGAAGGTTGTGTACTGGAGGAGTCAGTGTACCTCTAAATCTTAGATTCAATGTATGGACATCGGCTCGAAATCGAATCCTGTTATAAAGGTAAGGGGGCTGTTGATAATTTATCACTTTATAATACAAACAGGCTGAATGCAAAATTCTTCGGTTCTGCATATTCAACCAGTTTACATCGACCAATCGATCACTAACATGCTGCCGACGTTTAATACCATAAATTAGTCGTAAACAGGAATTTTGTACCTTTTGTATCTTCCTCTTTGCGAGATATGAAATGAAAGTAGAATATATCACATCGCAATAATTAAAATGCGATAATACAAGTGATTCACAGAGCATAGTCTTAAGCTTTCTATTTAAAAAATTTCGACAGTTGTAAATGAGTTTTAAGTTACAGTACGCTAATTGGGTACATTTATTAACGTGATCATTGAATTTCAGTGCGTCATCAATTAATAGTCCCAGACTTTTTACAGTATTACTACATGTAACACTTGTGTTGTTTACAAAAATATTAAGTTTGGATAAGAGAATCTGTCTCGATCTTTTAGGCGCAAAAAGGATTAATTCGGTCTTTGATGGGTTAATGTATAGATTGTGACGTTCAGAAATATCAGCTATACTCTGAAGATCAGAGTTAATACGTTCACAAGCAGCTGTCACATCAGACGGCGGAAAGGAGCAGTACAGTTGAGTGTCATCAGCGTAAAAATGCGATCTACAATATTTTATGAAGGTTTTAAAATGACATGTATACACAGTATACAAAAGAGGTCCAAGAATGGATCCTTGTGGTACACCCGACGATAAACTCAACGCACCCGAGATACTGTCACCAACAATAACTGACTGTCGACGATTTTTCAAATAACTCCGCAGCAATTCAACGGCCCCGTCATCCAGTCCAACAAATTGCAAAATAGAACACAGTAGGTCATGGTTGATTGTGTCAAATGCTTTGGAAAAATCTACAAGACACAAAACTGTGGCATTTCCCTTGTCTATTTCAGATACCACATCATCTATAATGGAAATCAATGCGGTGGTACAGCTGAAGCCAGGTCTAAATCCAGACTGCATTTCTGGCAAGATATTGTTTTTGTCTATAAAATCACGCAGTTGAAAAGCTAGAACCTTTTCAGTTACTTTCGATAGTACAGGAAGGATGCCTATGGGTCTTAAATGCATAAAATCAATAGGATTAATTTTATTTAAATGCATAACTTCAAATGACAAACAATAACGTCCGTCCAGAAATAATAATAATACTTTATTGAGTCAAGATATAAATACTGAAAAATAATGAAATATCAATCAGTGGACAAATATATAATTCAAGCTCAATTGGTATAAGAGCAGAAAAAGCAAATGTGTAAACGGCCGTAAAACAGTAATAACAAAAAGAAATGTTCCAATTGAACACAATAAAAATAAAGGTACCTATTACAAAAATCTACCTAGTCAGCACACTTCGCAAAACCGGGAATCAAATTCTAAAAACGAGCACAACCTAGTACGAAAATGAACACTGGAAGATTGAGAACCTATGAGAAGGAATATTTATACAAAATCTGTGCCGGAAATTCAAGTTATGAACATCCGTTTCGAACGTAATTTTATAATTGAGATAACGCGGTTTACAGGAAGTAGTAAGCCCATAGATAAAAGAGAAGTAATAAACCACAAATTTCTGTCAGATATTCAGCCAATCATTAGATAATAAAATCTACAATTCATGATCATCTCTTCGAAGATTATAGATAAAAAGAAGACACGAATTCTGTTCAACCTGAAAACTCTCGGGATAAACATAACCCAAATACGAGAATCATAAAGGAATCGTCTCAGACCCTATGACAAAAACATCTTACTGCAATAGAGACTTCTTAAGACGCCAAAAGCACGCCTACATACTAAATTAATATGATAAGCAAAAACAAGCTGATCATTAATGTTAAAACCCAAATTCCGTTATTTTATTACAAGCTTCCAAACGCTCACCAGGCAGGAAATCGGGATAAAGTTGCGTAATCTTGAGCATATTGGTGATATGAACTATTCTTAAGTTTGAGAATTGTTGGTATAGATTATAAATAAGATAGGACTAAAGATAGATCCGATCAGATCAGATAGAGCTGATAAACAAAGGATTAAGAATAAAGGAAAGTTTAAGAATAGCCAATAAACGGTCGTGATTCAACATATGAAATGCCTTACTAAAATCAGGTAGCATAAGTATAGTGGATCTATCAGCATCAAGAGCTCTATATACAGGTGTCTCACGTAACTATACCCCATTTTTGAATTCGGAGTGTTTTCAAATTGCAGCGCCAAAAAGAAGGGTTACTATTGGTCAGTTTTACACAAAAATTACACTAGGAAAATTCGAGATATTGCCGGCCGCTTAGAAACATTCGGATTTAGCCACACGTCTCTCAAGATGGCTAAACCCGAATGATTCTAGTTGTATGTAGGTCTTGTGTTCGTTCTAGTTATAGTGCTAGTGTAAAATTAGAACTAACACTAGACCTAGCACTAGAAAATATCTAAAGACTGAAGACGCACCGCTAAACCCGAAACTTCTTTAGTTTTAGTTCAATAAAAATATACAACATAATAATATCTTATGCTAACTAGCGCTACCTACCACTGCCATTAGAACTAACACTAGACTGAGAACTAGAAATATTCGGATTTAGCCGCACGTCTCTCAAGACGGCTAAACCCGAATGATTCTAGTTCTAAGTCTTGTGTTGGTTCTAGTTTTAGTTCAATACAAATATAGAAGTACAACATAGTAATATCTTATTCTCCCTAGCGCTACCTACCACTGCCAATAGAACACTAGACTGAGAACTAAAAACATTCGGATTTAACCGCACGTCTCCTAAGACGGCTAAACCCGAATGATTCTAGTTCTAATGATAATGTTAGTGTAAAACTTATACTAGTTTTCCACTATAATACTTTCTAGTTCTCGGTCTAGTGTTAGTTCTAGTTTTAGTTCAATAAAAATAAACAACATAGTGACATTTAATGCTAACTAGCGCTACCTACCACCTACCAGCCGTCTTAAGAGAGGTACAGCTAAACGGAATGTTTCTAGTTGTAGGTCTAGTGTTAGTTCTAGTATTAGTCTAGTTTTATTTGTTATTCAGCGCTAGATTATTGTATATTTTTATTGAGCTATAACGGACACTACCTTCCCCGTATTAATCCATTATATCGATGTTTTAGTGTAATGTCAAATTATATTGACATGTTGCAGTTTATGTGGGACAAAGTAAGTAGGTACGCACTGGTTTTTATTATGTTTAAACAAATAAGTAATTAAAGTCGTAACTACAGTTTACTTAAAATCCTCTCTGGTTTTAAAACTACCGCCAAAAAATAGCTTTCAAAAATTACACTGTGTAAACGTGACTTTTCATCTTTCTCTAAGTAGGATGATTACACTAAGTAGACCACAACTTTGTTATTTTAAATGAAATGCTAGAGTTTTTATTTCACCTTTTAATTATATGCGGCAAAATAATAAATTCCATAATTAAAAAACCAAACAGTTTCGGGCATGTTTTAATAAATTTCCCAATATGAGGGAAACTACAACAAAATAGGCATAGGCAGGTTTATAGATGATTTGTAGAGAATTAAATTCCCTTTGTGGTAGGCTAAAAAAATATGAGGCGTTCCATTTAAAATTTTCGACTTTCTTGCTATTGAATATGGAGAAATGGTAAATCAATTTTTGACCACCTGTATATAAGATACTCTAATACAACAAATGACAATCTATTTGACAACATCTGATGAGTATCGCCTGATGAGTATCGCCTGATGAGTATCGCCTGATGAGTATCGCCTGATGAGTATCGTTTTAAAGAGCATAGTGAAATTTGACCTCCCTGTATAAGATATTCCAATACAACAAATGACGATCTATTTGACAACATCTGAAGAGTAATCGTGCCAAGGGAGAGCTTTTTTGAATAAGCGTTGGTGAAATTTGCCAAACAAAAACTTAAAATTAAAATAATTCGAAAACGAAAAAATCTAGGTACCAATAACGTAAGACACCTGTATATATCATCAGTTCAATATCTTCATTAATTTTTTTTTAAACCACGGTATTTCCTACATATTAATGCACATATTGAGCACCTGTAAGAAGTATTTTTGAACCATGATAACCACGGCCGTTCTGCTTATCTAAAGCTAATAATCTAATGACATTCTTGAAATTTCAAGCTATCATCTGAACCAGAATAACTAAAAGAAAACGACAATAGAAACAAAATGGCGCCAATCTGAAGATTGCATTTCGTTTATATACGTTTTTTTATATTATAAAGGACTCTCAAATTAATAAAAATCAATATTTTAACTTAATTCTAATTCACACGAAAATTCTGTATGCGGTTAATATATGTGCAAAGTTTGGCCACAATTGAGCCAGTAAATTTTGAAAATTCCTGCATGGCTAATGCTGATTTCTGCGTTTGCAACTCTGCATTTATGTTAACCAATTTTTACTCCAGTCACATCAATAATCTTCAAAATTATTATAAATCCGTTATTAAAGATTATAATATATATTATTATTAAAACACCACATAATTTGGCAGGTAATAATTCCCAAAGATATCACTTTATTTAATAAAAAAAGAAGGGATCAACCTCTTAAATAAAATTTTACTGTTTGCTTTGAAATGATAGAGTGATAAAATCGGTTTTTGAATTAATAATACCCAAACGATTTCATTTCTTCTACTCCAAATTCATAACAGCCTTTTTTAGGAAGTCATGCAATGGTTAAATAAAGGGTTACTTATAATAAGCAATTAAGAATCAATCGTACATATTTGGAACGATTGAGAATCGGTGATAGATATTAAAATTATATGAGTTTTCGGAATCGATTCAAAGTGATTGGAAGCAATTTTATTGAGGTCATTGGTGGCTATTCCGAATAAGTGATAGATATTGGGATGTATTGCGAGTCTGTTGAGAATAATTTCATAGAGTTGGGAATAATTGAGAACTTTTAAAAGCAACAAATATTGGGAATAACTGTATGATAACATTAAATATCTACAAAATAAATTATGTATTAAATATGAACATAATAATCCAGTTAGTGTTGAGTAAACAACATTACCAACCAAATGAATCATACAACCTATACAGAAAAGTTAAATAGTACCTTGTAAAAAAGTTTAAGCCCCGTTCTAATAATAAAAAACAGTTAGAGTAACAACTGAAAGAGCACAGACCAATGTTTCAATACTAAACGAACTAAAGATAAAAGACAAGTTGATCAAGTTGATTAATAGATATTTTGGACACCAGCGCAAAGCGGACCTTGTTGTAGAGGGAAAAATCGAAGGTAGAAGAGCATGGGGAAGATAATGTATAAGATGGACAGGCAGACTGAAAGTTCTGATGGGACACTTGATGCACCAGGCCATACTAATGGCGCAGAACCGGATGACTCACCTAATATCACCAAATCTTTCTAAAGGGTAGATGAACTAAGGAGGAAGATTAACATTAGCAAGATTACACAGGAAAAAATATAGACAACATTTGTCAGATTTCAGAACTGTTATTATTTGTTTCATAACAATTTTCTAACGATTTTCAAAGATATTTATCTAATTTCTGCAGATTTTAAAATAGTGACATCACATTTTGAATATTTCCTAATAGATTATTGATAATTTAGATACAACTTTTTATCAAACTTATGAATCAATACCTAGTAATTATATTTAAAGAGTTTTCGAATTTAGAAACAATTTTAAATAAACATTCCATTATTACATAGTATTGTATAGTAAATATAAACGTGAAAACATGTTAATTAAAAAATTAATTATTAAGAGGAATTGTTCAAAACGATATTTGTTTAATTGAATTCTGTAGTTACACAGATAATGTAATATTTTTAAACATGATATTGGTATTTTTAAATTAAACAACAAAAATTTTCGTAGAAATACTTTTAAAACTCACCTCTAACTTGCTGTTCTAACGTCATTATAACCTCCACGGCCATATTTAGGATACCTAATTTTGTCTGTGGTTTATCCGTTTTTAGATGTGACATACACATCCTACCCAATTCTTTTAGGGCCTCATTTATATCACGAATGCGTATCCTATAAAAGAAAAATAAATAATTTCTTACGTCGGCATCAAAATTTAAAAAAAAAAAAAATAAATTATTAATTAGAAGGATTTTTTAAAAATATGAGCACAGAAATATTAGTAATAAATAATATTAGTAATACACTAAGAATATAGGCTTTTTTTCGTATAGTAACATAAATTAGCATTTTTTTGTTGATTGTTAATTGAGATTTTAGCTAACACAAAGATTTTTTTAACGAACAACTTTTCCCCACCTTTCCCTAGCATTATTGGCCTGTCTCCTTTCTTTTTCCCTCTGCGCTTTAATGTCAGGATCTATATCACCGTCCTCGGTTTCGTCCGCACTGGAACAACTAACATTATGTTAGAAGACACGAATTGAAAATTACTTTTTTTTAAGACTGCCAATGACCCTGCACTTATATTTAAAATATTAATAACGTAATAACACGCTTTTTTAATAAATTTTCCTTTCATTAATTTTAAATTTAATTTACCTCAATACCTTTCTTATTGTATTTTATTAATCTAAACGAGGCCCATATTCATAGTGTACTAAAATAAAAAAATTAAAATAAATTAAATAAATCAAAGAAAAATTAATTTTATTTTGGAAACATCTACGCATGCCGGCCAAATTCTTAAAGCACGAATGTTACAAAATCAAGTTTAACACTTAAGGTAATTTTTTTTTGATTAGATGGTGGTTTTTGATGAAAAGATGATTTGTTGTAACATTTGTATTTCTGAATAAGGGCCTCGATAGATGTAAAAAGATTTCCGTTGAAGAGATGATTAAGAAAAATTCAAGTAATAATAAGAAATAAATCAAATACTCTAAATATAGAAAATATTAAGTTAAAATACTTGGAATGGACAATGATTTTATGTGTTAACCCATTTGCATCAAGTGGCTCATATCACCAAATTTTTTTTATTATACATAATCAGACTAGTTTCGGCGCTCGGCTCCATCATCAGAGACTATGTCAAATTTTTTTAAGGGATTAAAATATTAATCATTAGTATTTGAAGATTTCCTTTTACATTTTTCGCTGAACAGGTAAATAACACGAGAGTATGGATATCGATACGCGGTTTGCGGAGAATTTCTGGACCATCTTTCTAGTTCTAGTAACAGTTCTAGTGATAATACTAGTGTTAGTTTTAGTTGTTACCACATTGTTGTATATTTTTATTGAACTAAAAGCAGAACCAACACTAGACCTACAACTAGAACCATCTAGCCTTCTGAAGCAGGAAAGGAGTATGTCTGGACACTTTAAAGTAAACCCATCACTAGGCTGATTCAAATTTGAAATGATTAAAAAAACAGAAGTAAAAGAAAGCCGGACAGATCCGTTGTTGACGACTTTTAGCATGAAGAGGACAACGAAAAAGATGTTTGGAATCTTAGAACCTTAGATACCATTCGGTTAAAATAGACATTCTTGATTTTGGCAAGGTCAGGTTTTTGTACTGGGACCCAACAGGAGATGACGCAGAACACAGAAATGAAATTGGTCACTCTGTTATTGTTATCACCCTGTTATTGACTGAAAAAACAGCATCTTGATATTATAATTGTTATGGAAGACATGAAAGCAAAGGTGGGGACGTGCAACAAAGGGCTAGAACATGTTATGGGAACCCATGGAATTGGAGAAATGACTGAAAATCGAGAAATATTCGTGAATTACTGCGCCAGCTATGACCTTATGAATGGTGTAACTCTGTTCAAATGACATTACAAAGAAATAGATAAACTCTATAGCATGGAGCAGGTAGTTTAGAGGGTCTTTAAGAGACGTTGGGGACAAACGAGGAGCCGACTGTGGCAGCGACCACCACCTTGTTATTTGTTGTCGCAAATTTGCGAATGAAGATTGTGGCTGGTAAAAGAAAGTTGGAGCAAAAGAGTATGCGATTCAATATGAGTGAATTAAAGGTATCAGCAAAACAAGAAAAATTCTGTATAGAATTGAGAAATCGCTTTGAATTACTACCAGAACAAGAACAGGAAGACAGTAACGTTGAAGGTACATGGGGTCTAGATCAAAAACATATACTGTGACGTAAGTGAGAGTCTGGGTTCAGAAATAGCTTTAAGGATATATGAAAATACGTGAGATACTAAATATTAGCAAAACAAGGCACCAGGTGTAAACAAAATTGCATCTGAAGCACTAAAACAAGACATTGAGACTACTTTTGGATTATTACACACATTTCTTGAGAAGTTATGTGTTGTGATTTTATCAATACACTCAGCATAATTATTGAGCAAAGCGCAGAATGACTCCACTTGACTTTTATCGATTTTGAGAAGGCCTTTGCTCGTTGAACAGAAGAATCATGTGGCATACTCTGGAAAGACATGAGGTCCCTCTGAAGATCATCAATGTTATTAGGGAGATGTATGAGGGATATGAGTATCAAGTGGCCTATTCAGGAAAATTCTAGGATGAGACAAAAGTGTATTTTGTCACGTTTACTGTTCCGCCTAGTATTGGCTAGAGTGATGAAAAAAATTACAGATGAAAGGAGAAATAGTATTCGGTGTGGGGATGGAAGATAGACAGAGATTTTGTGATATGGAGGTAAAGTTGAGAAAACTGCAAGATGAAGCAGACGCAGCAGGACTAAATGTCTATGTTCAAAAAACGAAGGAAATGATTATTAACATTCGTGTACCTTGGTAACATTGTTGGGAAAGATGGAGAGGCAGAGGGGGATATGCAGAAACTAATGCAGAAATTAAATGAGGCTTTCGTACAACTGTACCCAATCTGGCGAAATAAAAACATTTCCAAAAAGAACTCCTCCTATGGATATGAAACATGGAAGGACACCAAGGGAATGTCGAACAAGTTAAATCAATGCCTACAACGCATTATAAACGTGAGGTGATATCCAATTTTAAGACTTGTGGGACAGAACAAACCAACACCCTATTATGATGAAACTAAGGAGAGGAAATAGCATTGGATTGGACACTAAAGAAGCCTCATGGAGCAGTTGAGACGTTAGCGCTTGACTGGAACCACCAAGGAACACGGAGACGGGGTGCCCATGAAAGTCGTGGAAGAGAAGAGCTATTGAAGAAGAAGCAATTGAAGTCAGGAAAACGTGGAGAAAAATGAAACGCCTTGTTGTCAACCGGACCAGATAGAGAACTTTTACTGTTGCAGTATGCTCCACTATGTGCGACAGGAAATAAGTCAAGTCTTGAGAGACAAACCCGAATGTATCTAGATCTACTGTCAATTCAAGTCCTAATATTAGATCTAGTTTTAGTTGTTATTTAGCATAAGGTTGTTGTATATTCTTATTGAATCAAAGGTAGAACTAACAATAAACTTAGAAAGTTTCAAACTGGAATGATTCTAGTTCTAGGTTTAGTGATAGTGTTAGCTCTAATTTTAGTTATACTACATTTATTATGATAGAAATAATAATAATTGTGTAAATAGTATCGATTTCGCTCCCTATTGAAAACGTGTATGTTGTAACTAGCGCATATCTATGCTTCGGTGATAATGGCCACGAAAATTCCACGCATAATCATAATCTGGGCTATGATGCAAATGGGTTAAGGATAACGAAACAGGATTTTATAATACGTAAATATTGGATTTATGTATACATTGAAAAAGTATGTATACATTAAAAATGATGTATACAATTCATTTTTTGTGGAAAGCGTGCCATTACGTACCGTTCACGGACATTGTTGGCCTGTCTACGCTCTTTTTCGCGTATGGCCTTGTTGCTTGGGTCGTCTGTTTCTTCTTCATCGGCAGTACCACTTAAAAACACATTCAAATAACATATACAGTAGAATTCAGATTATTCTCATGGTTATTTTTATATTGGGTATAGATAATTTGAAAAAAACAACATTTTGGATGAACAACTTGACGACCTACATGAATGATGATTATAGACCATGGATTATTTTGTACACATTCCCCACAACATAATTAGAATTTTACTGTATACAAAAATTCTATTTTTCTTTTTTTTAAGTAAAGAAAAAAAATAGAATTTATTTTTCAAATATTTCTATAACTTTTTATAACCACAAAAACTAATTAAATCATTCATCACTTGATACTTACTACCGTCGCGTTCTTTTATTTGATTTTGACGATGATCCGCTTGTGGAATTCGGTTGGCCTATACTTTCTACTGAACTAGATGGTTTTGTATCACTATCTGGCGGTTCTTTACGTTTTTCTATAACCACAAATAAAATTAATTTTTATTACAAAATCATTAACCACATCTCATTTTTCTTACTTGTATTGTATGTAGCTCTTTCGACTTTGACGGAATCTGGCAGGTGTGTATCTGGAGGTGGTGGTGCCGTATAATTCAACGACGTCATTTGGGGTGGAGGCCCCAAACTGGGAGGTAGCTGGCCTAAATTGATTTGAGACTCCGCGTGATTCCTTAAGACGTTAATCGCGTCGTCCAGTCTTTCTTCCATACGTGTTCCCTTTAAAATTAAGAAAAAAAATTAAAATGATTTTTATGTTCAAAGTAATAAGGGGGATGCTATAATGTTTAAAGTTGTCTGAAAAAAGCTAAGAAAACAAAATGGAAATGTGAAAAGTGTACTATAAAATGTAAAAAAGGAAAAAAAGGAAACTCGAAGAAAAAATCAAATAAAAAAGAAATAAAGACTTACGTTGACGTCGGCTTGGTCCCGCAAGAAGCCGATGGCATCGTCTAATCGTTGCGCTTCGGGGGCTGACGGCTTCACGAAAAAAAAGAAACAAAAAAGAACACCATGCAAACACAAAAACCAAAGAAAATGAAAAAAATAATAATAATAAAACAGGACAGAAAACGGATAAATAAAATTTCTAGCTACAAATTTCATTTTATATAATTGTTTTTGTTCAGATACAGTGGGTTTGTTTATAACGACATAAAATTATTTAAAGTAATATCAATTGATTAAATAACGTTTAAATTTAAAAAAAAACCTTTTAAATCTTTTTGGTAAGATATTGTTAACGATGCAAGAACGTTTAACGCTAAGGTGCGGGACACAACTTCAAAATATTTGTGCTAAATTAGAGAATCTTCGTTGTGGTTTATCATTAACGATCAAATAGGTCTGAATTCGGTAGACACCTTTAAGGGTTTTTTTTTCTGGTATATCATTAACCATCAAGAAAGTTTAAAGACGAGATCGCTTGCGGCAGAGGCAGTAGATTTCAGTAGATACAACTAAAATATTTAATGCTAAAATGCCTCAAAACAAGATTTTCTGGAATATAAATATGATTAAGCATGAAGAAAGTTTAAAGCCGTTCGTTAAAGTTCAAAACATTTCAAATTTGTTATAATATTGTCTAGCCCCTAAAAACGTTTTCAATAAAGCCAAACAGATTATTTACACCCATCATTCATAACCATAACAGTATTTAGACCTGTTGATATTTCATCAGTTGACTTGATTTCTTAAATATAAAAAAAAAGAATTAGAAAAAATTGTACAACTAATCATCATATAATTTAATGAAGTCAAGGAATCGTTTAATCATTTATGTTTAATTATCCACTCTTTGCAATAAATTATTGGTGCTGCAACTTTTAATTTTTTCATTTATCGTTTATGATATTATCGACAAGGAAACGAAACTTAATAATTAATTAAGTGATTTGCAGCCATTCTACTAATTGCTTAATTGAAGTACTAAAATCAGTTTTTTCATAAGCGATTTGGTCACTACTTAAGCATAACATCTAGTTATCAACAATAATTTCGGAATTAAACTTAAGCAATGGCTGAATTATTTATTTGCTGTGGTTGTAACGTAAGTCTATAAATGCTATTCGCTTTAGCATAACAAACAACTTAGTAATCAGCAACACAGGACGCCTTTATATATTCTTGTTCATTTAATTTTATGTCACAACCAACAGATTCATCTTTTATTAACATCAATTCTATATCTTACCTTAATATGCTAATAAAGGAAAGAATGTACTATTGACTATTAACGCCTACTCCAAGAATATACCGATTTGACCACTACCGTTTTGCTTATAGAAAAATTGTGTTTCAGTCCAGCTTGTATATTATATTAGGTATAAATTAAAATCTAAATACAATTTTATTTTAATTTTTAAAATAGTAAAGAACTTGTTCACTTGAAACCCATTATCAAATCATGCAGAATTGTTTCAATTGTTACTGGTTATTAATCGCTTAAACACTGACCCATTGAAACGCAGCATAGTGCTCCATCATTACATTGTTTGTCATTCTGGATGTTACACTAAATCCTACTCATTGCACATTAATAGAATAATATTTACAAATATAATTAAAATAAATAATTCTAATTGATAATGATTACTCTCTACATACTACTATTTCAGTTTGATCACAAAAACAGTACCCTGAAAAACTTTAATCTATAGCAGACTTTTAAGTAATATGATAATTCTACACTGTCAAATACTATACCAAGTAGTCAACATCTCTCATCTAAATTTAAATTGATATGGACTTTTAATGGAGAAGTTAGACTAGATATTCTTTCTAGGTGATTAGAAACTACTACAATAAGAATTGAAAGGGTGTTTTGAAGCTGTAAATGTTTCCTTACATTCATGAACTAATTACAGTTTGGTCTTACCAATGACATTTTTATTAAGATTAATAGAATTACTAAAGTAGTCTTCAGATCATTGAAGGAAATATGTAAAGTATTCGAAAAGTATCGTAAAGTTTCACGATTTCTTACATATAATGGTAGGAATGTTTTTACTCATACATTAGCAGATATGGACTGTAATCGTTCCTTCATATTTAATCTGATAAGGGATAAAATAGCAAATCTTCCTAGAACAACCGGATTCAAAATAGGAAACACGTTATTGAAGATTCTGAGGACAACCTCCAAATGTTACTACATCCTTTTATCACTAAAGTAAAGGAATTAAATATGCTCATCAACACCGACAAGACCTTAGAGAACACTTAGTAACAAAAAAGGAACTAATAAGATGTAAGTTAAAGATCGACTCCAAGACTGTCGAATAGGTGAATTGCTTTAAATATTTAGACGTAGAAATAACGAGTGACGGAAATCTTTTTAACGAAGTGAGATAGCAAACAATGAAAGTGGCTCGAATTTTGGGATGCCTGCAAGAGATTTTTTGGAAGAACAAATACCGAAAGCAGAATCAAAATAGATAAAACTGTTATAAGACCCACTCATCATAGCATACGCGGCAGACACAAGACCAACATCAGAAAACATCAAGAATTATACAAAGCAAAACTCTAGACGATAGAATATGGAACGAAGATATCAAACAACAATGCGGAATACAAGACATCGTTAAAAAGGGACAAAGAAATAACCCAGTAGGAATAAGATCGCGGAAAAGACCATCAAAACGATAGCAACAATATTGTACCTCATCTACGTGTTAACAATGAACAGGCAGTAGCCTACCAATATGATATCCATATTAGAAAAAACATGATTTAAAATCCTCATTTCATAGACAATAACAAATTAGATAATTATAATATGTGAGCATACAATTTCATGAAAAGGAATAAAATAAGTAATTCTTCTAGAGAATGAACGAAAAATGACAAGGCTATCTTTAATAAGAGCGTCAAGAAGTAACAATAAAAAGTAACATCAGAAAATGAAGAACCAATAAAAGCTGATACATTATGTATTAAGAATTGTTATGTTTATAATTACATTTTCCTTTGGTTATCAATTTAACAAAGTGTATGTGATGATGGTTGTAACAAGTTTTACAAGAAAGGTTTAGACGAAAAATTTGTTTCTCCAAAACTGTTTGGAGATGAGCAATCAAACTTTTTGGAGTTATAGCAAAATGTTTGAGGTTAAGTCATACCAAATTTTAAGTTTCCTGCATATACCTACTTTTTTTTATAAAATTTTTTAAAAACGTTACTTCAATTTAACAGTTTTTTTTAAATATAGTGAAAGAAAAAAAATCTTTTCTCAAAAATTGCTTAGAATTGAGAAATAAAACTATGTTCGGGTTATAAGAGATTGTCTGAGGTTAGGTTGTACAAAAGTTTGTGTTTCCAGGTTTGATTTTGGTGCAAAAAATGTTATTTATTTGAATATGGCGTTGTTCGAAGTAACATCTTTCTTCAAAATGGTTCTATATTTAAACCTAAAAGTTTTTTATTTTATTAATGTACATCCATTAATTGTACTGAATCAGGTTAAAGTGAAACAGTTTTTTTCTCCAAATTATTAGAATTGAAATAGGTAAGCATAATATGCAGTTTTAAGAGTTTCTAAGAGAACATAGACCTAAGAGCTCAAAATCTTTTTCTAAGATTTTTTATAATCCAACCTAATTATTTTTTAACCAATCTTAATCTAAGATCTTTTAGCTTCAATTTGAACAAACAAAATCGATAAATTGATCCAGGAGGAAGAAGCAAGCTAACCAAAACAAGGCGATTCCTTGGTTGTGTCCACTTTATACACTTATAAAATATCACCCAAAGTTCAGTGAGTCAAAAAAAAATTTGTTTCTCCAAAACTGTTTGAAAATGAGCAATCAAACTTTTTGGCGTTATAGAAAAATGTTTGAGGTTAGGTCATACCAAATTTTAAGCTTCCTGCATAGTTTTTTTTATAAAAATTTTTAAAAACATTACTTCAATTTTACAGTTTTTCTAAATATAGTGAAAGAAAAAAATTCTTTTCTCAAAAATTGCTTAGAATTGAGAAATAAAACTGTGTTGGGGTTATAAGAGATTGTTTGAGATTAGGTTGTACATAATTTTGTATTTACATCCATTAATTGTACTAAATCAGATTAAAGAGAAACAGTTTTTTCTTTAAAATTTATTAGAATTGAAATAGTTAAGCATATGCAGTTGTAAGAGGTTCTCAGAGAACACAGTTCTAAGAGTTGAACATTTTTTTATAATCAAACCTAATTATTTTTTTAATCTACGATTTTTTAGCTACAATTTGGGATATAAATCGTTTCAATAAATAATATCGTCGCGAGTTTTTAAAAATTTCACTATTTGCAAGAAATTCTCTCTTCTATCTAGAAAATTTTAGTTCATAATCTTTTTCTAAGATTTTTTATAATGCAACCTAATTAATTTTTTAACCAATCTTAATCTAATATCTTTTAGCTTTAATTTGAACAAACAAAATCGATAAATTGATTCAGCAGGAAGAAGCAAGCTAACCAAAACGAGGCGATTCCTTGGTTGTGTCCACTTTATACACTTATAAAATATCACCCAAAGTTCAGTGAGTCAAAAAAAAATTTGTTTCTCCAAAACTGTTTGAAAATGAGCAATCAAACTTTTTGGCGTTATAGAAAAATGTTTGAGGTTAGGTCATACCAAATTTTAAGCTTCCTGCATAGTTTTTTTTATAAAAATTTTTAAAAACATTACTTCAATTTTACAGTTTTTCTAAATATAGTGAAAGAAAAAAATTCTTTTCTCAAAAATTGCTTAGAATTGAGAAATAAAACTGTGTTGGGGTTATAAGAGATTGTTTGAGATTAGGTTGTACATAATTTTGTATTTACATCCATTAATTGTACTAAATCAGATTAAAGAGAAACAGTTTTTTCTTTAAAATTTATTAGAATTGAAATAGTTAAGCATATGCAGTTGTAAGAGGTTCTCAGAGAACACAGTTCTAAGAGTTGAACATTTTTTTATAATCAAACCTAATTATTTTTTTAATCTACGATTTTTTAGCTACAATTTGGGATATAAATCGTTTCAATAAATAATATCGTCGCGAGTTTTTAAAAATTTCACTATTTGCAAGAAATTCTCTCTTCTATCTAGAAAATTTTAGTTCATAATCTTTTTCTAAGATTTTTTATAATGCAACCTAATTAATTTTTTAACCAATCTTAATCTAATATCTTTTAGCTTTAATTTGAACAAACAAAATCGATAAATTGATTCAGCAGGAAGAAGCAAGCTAACCAAAACGAGGCGATTCCTTGGTTGTGTCCACTTTATACACTTATAAAATATCACCCAAAGTTCAGTGAGTCAAAAAAAAATTTGTTTCTCCAAAACTGTTTGAAAATGAGCAATCAAACTTTTTGGCGTTATAGAAAAATGTTTGAGGTTAGGTCATACCAAATTTTAAGCTTCCTGCATAGTTTTTTTTATAAAAATTTTTAAAAACATTACTTCAATTTTACAGTTTTTCTAAATATAGTGAAAGAAAAAAATTCTTTTCTCAAAAATTGCTTAGAATTGAGAAATAAAACTGTGTTGGGGTTATAAGAGATTGTTTGAGATTAGGTTGTACATAATTTTGTATTTACATCCATTAATTGTACTTATTCAGGTTAAAGTGAAACAGTTTTTTTTGTCCAACATTTATTAGAATTATAATAGTTAAGCATATGCAGTTTTAAGAGGTTCTAAGAGAACATAGAACTAAGAGTTGAAGATTTTTTTATAATCAAACCTAGTTATTTTTTTAATCTATGATTTTTTAGCTACAATTTGGGATATAAATCGTTTCAATAAATATTATCGTCGCGAGTTTTAAAAAATGTCACTATTTGTAAGAAATTTTCTCTTCTATCTAGAAAATTTTAGTTCATAATATTTTTTATAATGCAACCTAATTATTTTTTTAACCAATCTTAATCTAATATCTTTTAGCTTCAATTTGAACAAACAAAATCGATAAATTGATCCAGGAGGAAGAAGCAAGCTAACCAAAACGAGGCGATTCCTTGGTTGTGTCCACTTTATACACTTATAAAATATCACCCAAAGTACAGTGAGTCAAAAAAAATTTGTTTCTCCAAAACTGTTTGAAAATGAGCAGTCAAACTTTTTGGCGTTATAGAAAAATGTTTAAGGTTAGGTCATACCAAATTTTAAGCTTCCTGCATAGTTTTTTTTATAAAAATTTTTAAAAACATTACTTCAATTTAACAGTTTTTTTAAATATAGTGAAAGAAAACAAATATTTTCTCAAAAATTGCTTAGAATTGAGAAATAAAACTATGTTCGGGTTATAAGAGATTGTTTGAGATTAGGTTGTACATAATTTTGTATTTACATCCATTAATTGAACTAAATCAGGTTAAAGAGAAACAGTTTTTTCTCCAAAGTTTATTAGAATTGAAATAATTAAGCATATGCAGTTTTAAGAGGTTCTCAGAGAACACAGATCTAAGAGTTGAAGATTTTTTTATAATCAAACCTAATTATTTTTTTAATCTACAATTTTTTAGCTACAATTTGGGATATGAATCGTTTCCCCACTTCAATAAATAATATCAAATTTTAGTTCATAATCTTTTTCTAAGATTTTTTATAATGCAACCTCATTATTTTTTTAACCAATCTTAATCTAACATCTTTTAACTTCAATTTGAGCAAACAAAATCGATAAATTGATCCAGGAAGAAGAAGCAAGCTAACCAAAACAAGGCGATTCCTTGGTTGTGTCCACTTTATACACTTATAAAATATCACCCAAAGATGAGCAATCAAACTTTTTGGCGTTATAGAAAAATGTTTGAGGTTAGGTCATACCAAATTTTAAGCTTCCTGCATAGTTGTTTTTATAAAAAATTTTAAAAACTACTTCAATTTTACAATTTTTCTAAATATAGTGAAAGAAAAAAATTCTTTTCTCAAAAATTGCTTAGAATTGAGAAATAAAACTGTGTTGGGGTTATAAGAGATTGTTTGAGATTAGGTTGTACATAATTTTGTATTTACATCCATTAATTGTACTAAATCAGGTTAAAGTAAAACAGTTTTTTCTCCAAAATTTATTAGAATTGAAATAGTTAAGCATATGCAGTTTTAAGAGGTTCTAAGAGAACATAGATCTAAGAGTTGAAGATTTTTTTATAATCAAACCTAATTATTTTTTAATCTACGATTTTTTAGCTACAATTTGGGATATAAATCGTTTCCCCACTTCAATAAATAATATCGTCGCGAGTTTTTAAAAATGTCACTATTTGTAAGAAATTCTCTCTTCTATCTAGAAAATTTTAGTTCATAATATTTTTTATAATGCAACCTAATTATTTTTTTAACCAATCTTAATCTAACATCTTTTAGCTTCAATTTGAACAAATAAAATCGATAAATTGATCCAGGAGGAAGAAGCAAGCTAACCAAAACAAGGCGATTCCTTGGTTGTGTCCACTTTATACACTTATAAAATATCACCCAAAGTTCAGTGAGTCAAAGAAAAATGTGTTTCTCCAAAACTGTTTCAAATTAGGCAATCAAACTTTTTGACGTTATAGAAAAATGTTTGAGGTTAGGTCATACCAAATTTTAAGCTTCCTGCATAGTTTTTTTTTTATAAAAATTTTTAAAAACATTACATCAATTTTACAGTTTTTCTAAATATAGTGAAAGAAAAAAATTCTTTTCTCAAAAATTGCTTAGAATTGAGAAATAAAACTGTGTTGGGGTTATAAGAGATTGTTTGAGATTAGGTTGTACATAATTTTGTATTTACATCCATTAATTGTACTAAATCAGGTTAAAGTGAAACAGTTTTTTCTCCAAAATTTATTAGAATTGAAATAGTTAAGCATATGCAGTTTTAAGAGGTTCTAAGAGAATTAGATCTAAGAGTTGAAGATTTTTTTATAATCAAACCTAATTATTTTTTTAATCTACAATTTTCTAGCTACAATTTGAGATATAAATCATTTCTCCACTTCAATAAATAGTATCGTCGCGAGCTTTATCTAGAAAATTTTAGTTCATATTTTTGTAAGATTTTTTATAATGCAACCTAATTATTTTTTTTAACCAATCTTAATCTAAGATCTTTTAGTTTCAATTTGAACAAACAAAATTGATAAATTGATTCAGGAGGAAGAAGCAAGCTAACCAAAACAAGGCGATTCCTTGGTTGTGTCCATTTATGCACTTATAAAATATCACCCAAAGTTGAGTAAGGTAAACTGTGGTAAATGCATTCCAAGACAATAAAATGTTTGTTAGAAGTATACAAGTGCATCTATTTAGTGGAATTGTTTGGTACTACTCAGATTAAATTGAAAGGTTCTCTTATCAAGTGTTTCAATATATTTGGCAAAAACAAGGAGTAATATTATGATGTGTCAGAAATTGATTGTTCAAAGTTCTACTTGAAAAGAAGTTGCAGGAACTTACAGGAATACAATAATAATGACTTTCAATAAATGGATGTTCAGCTTATTGCTTGCTGATAAAGATATTACACAAAGGTAGATATATCTTAAAGATAACAAAAGAATTAGAAATCCTTTATCATCAATTTCATCAAAATATTTAGAAAGCAACCTGAAAAATTAAATATTTTAAATAAAAAAAGAAATTTAATTAACAATTAAAAATAAATACTCCCTTAAATTCGTTTTAACCAATACCCACTGTATCTTTCATTTAAATTAAATATAAATTTGTATAAAATTTGCAAAAAAAAATCCTTTTTTTCAAACCATTTGAATCCTCAACGTCACAAAAAACGACTTGAAAGATATCAACAAACGTCTAAAATATTCCAATTTTTTAATCCTTACCATGTGTAGACCCTGAGCTGTACCACCATTATTCACGGAAACGGCTTGCGTGTAATGCGGCGAGTGTGGATTATTGTGGTTTCCGAGCCACGCGGCCGGAGCTAGTGGAGGAGGTGAACTAACCGGCGTAGACGGCGCCGAACTATAACTACTTGCGCTAGCTTGTTCTGCAATTGGATATATCTAAGAAAAGAAATGATTTAAATCAACACAAAATCTTTTAAAACATTAATATATTAAAAATAAACAATTCTTACCGCTCCTAATGCTTTGTTAATTCCATCCGTATGACTTCCCGGGCCAAAGGCGGTGTTATTTGGGGCCGCGGCCGTCGTTACAGGCGTTCCGTTCGACCGAAACGACGACATCGGTGGTAAACCTTGCGCTTCGGGCTCCGCCAAGCCATAGCTATCATAAGGTTGATAGGAGGTTCCGTAAGACGTAGGCCAGTCACCCACTGAACCTGGCGTACTGTCTGGGGGTAGGTAGTAGTTGCCCGCTGGGGACGTGTACCGAGGTGAATCATGTGCAAATTCATCCGATCCATACTATAATTGAAGAAAAAATTAATTTAGTATACACAGAAAGTTTTCAGATCAAACAAAAATACAAAATTACTTCCTCATATCTCGTTTCTCTATTAAAACCACGGAAACTATTACGTTCTCGTAACAACAATAAATAAAATTTCTATTTTACTACTTAATCAAAGTTATATGTTATGATGACCTAGACTTGAATAAATAAACAACCAAGATACACAACAACATAACCTCAACTACAGGAAAAGTTTTAAAGTTGTTTTAAAACTTTTAAATTCTTATAATTCAACTTAAACAAGTGTGATTGAGTGTTATAATTAAAGAAAAATTTGTTTACTGACCGCATTTTGTATAATATAATCCATTTTCGTCTTGAAGAAATACTCTCTTAATACCTAATCCGACATTTTCTTACTTAAGTAATGTTTTGGTGCATTGCCGCTAGAGTGTGCGCGTGCTCCCAAAACAACTCTGAATAACGTTCAAGTAAACGAGAGTTTTAAATTTTATTTGATAAATAAGTTTAAATACAATTATTATATAAATAAATAAAAAAAATTTAAATAAAAAGGTAATAAAAAACATTTTTAACAGTTCTTTGACTTGCACTTTAATGGCTTCCTTCACATTTGTTATTCAATGTGAAGTGGCTTTTGGTTATAATAAAATTAATAAGAAAAATAATAAATATCTTTATAATTATTAATATTTAAAAGTTAATATATTAATTTTTTGAATCTTTTTGTTTTTTGACATTAATTTTTATAATTAATTGTTATTTAGTATTGTAATTTCCGTTGTTCAACGTGAAGTTAGTTTTCTTCAATTATTTATAATTATCGATTCGATAATTTATGAATGTAATCTTATTACTATAATTATTTATTTATTTAATGAATTTGACTTTCTAATATTTTCTATCAATACTTCAAACCAGTTCTTTGACTTACACTTTAATGGCTTCCTTCACATTTGTTATTCAAAGTTAAGTTGGCGTTTGGTGGTTTTGGTTATAATAATGTTAATAAGAAAAATAAAATATCTTTATAATGCTTATTTTTAATGCTTAAAAGTGAATATATTAATTTTTTGAATCTTTTTGTTTTTTAACATTAATTTTTATAATTAATTGTTATTTAGTATTGTAATTTCCGTTGTTCAACGTGAAGTTAGTTTTCTATACAGGGTGTGTCAAATGTCTGAAAAATAGCCAATAACTTCGCCATTTGTGGTTTTAAAGAAAAATGTTTCAAATAAAAGTTTCTTTATTAATTGTGGTGCAACCAACATTGTTATTTTAAATGGAATGCATATGTGTTTTTTGCATATTTTGATAGCGATAAACATATCAAATCATATTATGGTTGTATAAGAAAAAATCGAGAAAAAATGCGTTCTCTGAAAATATTAAATCAGCAATTTACAATCAAAGTAGGCGCCGAATAGCGCCGTTGACAGCTTTAAATGTAAAAAAATTGACAGTTAAGAAATTAACATCCCTCATCTTATCCATTTTACAAACGACAGCGGTAGGTAGCGCTAGTTAGCATAAGATATCACTATGTTGCATATTTTTATAGCACTAAATTTAGAACTAACACTAGACCTAGAACTAGAAAGTTTCGGGTTTAGCCGTCTTGAGAGACGTAGGACTAAATCCGAATGTTTCTAGTTCTCGGTTTAGTGTTAGTTCTAGTGGCAGTGGTAGGTAGCGCTAGTTAGTATAAGATATTACTAAGTTGTATATCTTTATTGAACTAAAACTAGAAAGAGAACTAGAAACATTCGGATTTAGTTGAAAAAAACTTTCAGTTGTCAATGTCAACTTTAATTTTATTATTATATTCGTAATCTTCATAAAATAACCTTTAAAGTGAGTCCAAACTTGACGCATTTATCTTAAAAAACCAAAAAATTCGAACTTTCAACTTTTAATTTTGATATATTTGTCAACTTCATAAAAAACCCTTTAAAATGAGTCCAAACTCGACATATTTAACTTTAATATTAATGGAAATACAATCACTTCCGGTTTGAAACGTCAACGTCAATTTTGACATATTTGTCATCATCATTAAAAAACCTTTAAAATGAGTCAAAAGATGACTCACTTATCTCAAAAAACATAAAAGTTAGAATAAAAAACATTAAACCCGAAGTTAGCAACAATGAAGATAGCAATTTAATTTTTAAATATTAATACCAACCTTAATTTTTTATTTTTTTTTTTATATTTTTGTTTTTGTGACAAATATTAAGACATTTTATAAAAATTAAGAATATGTCAAAATGACATTGACATTTCAAACCGGAAGTTGCTTATATCTCGAGTAATATTGGAATTAAACGTATCATGTTTGGACTCATTTTAAAGGATTTTTCACGACGATTACAAATATGTTAAAATTGACGTTGACATTCTTAACCGGAAGTTGACCATAACTTCATTAATATTGAAGATAAATATATCGTGTTTGTACTCATTTTAAAGGATTTTTAATGAAGATTACAAATATGTCAAAATTGAGGTTGATATTTTAAACCTGAAGTTAATTATCATATAATAAAAGTTTTATAACTGAAGTTAATCTAGTGTTAGGCATTTTTCCGCATTTTCTTTTTATTTTTAACGGGTTTTTTGGATCATTTCACATTGATTAAATAAATCGTCGATTTTTAAGCCATTCTTGGATCATTCTTGAATTTTTCCCAAGTTTCTTAATATTTCTTTTGTTAAAAAAGAGCGTTCTTAAATTTTAACCTGTAAACTTGTAACACTTCGTCCTTAATTTCATTTTACAACTTTTTTAAACTTTAATTTTGTAAATTACTAACTAATAATCTGATTTCGACTTTGATATGTGATCTTTTTTAAGAAAACAAAAAGAAATATTAAGAAACTTGTTTGTAAACTGGATAAGATGAGAGATGTTAATCTATTTGTAGTCTTTGAAGATGGCCAAGGGCCGAAACTGGTTAGACTTAAATTCTATATAAAATAAAAACCAGTTGAAAAGTACAAAATCAAGCTCTAGATAATTTTCTTCAAAAATTTTTACACGAAACATCATTTTGACCTAGTATTTGTGATTAAATTTATGCCACGACTTACAGAATACCAAACAATTTTCAGTAGTTTGAGCCTGTCTATTCTGAGAAGTAGTATATTTTTAGAGAAATGAAAACGAAAATCCGGTTTTTTTAACATTATTAAGTGATGCATAACGCGGCCCATTTATCGATTCGATAATTTATTAATGTAATCTTATTAATACAATTTTTTATTTATTTAATCATTATTTAATTAATTTGACTTTCTAATATTTTCTATCAATACTTCAAAATTAATTTAAGTGGTCTACACTCAACTTTCTTTTAATACATCTTCACACATCTTTTAATCAGAAAAAATGATTGAAATGTTCTCTCTTTGTTATTAAAATAAGACGTTGTGCTTTTTCTAAAATTCTTCTACTAAAAAATGAATAGATTAGAATAAGTTCACGTTCAGCTGAATTGGGTGAAATAAAAACGTGGGAGCGAACATCGTAATAATAAATCCCGGAATATGCTGAATGGTCAACAAGGGCTACATCGCCTCCGGGTAGAAATAATAAATTCCACCGATATAACACCGATACAAAAATACTCTCAACGGACGCAGTCCGTAAAACGGGTTGTAAAAAGTCTACGGAGCACTTTCGGGTATTGGTAGTCCCTTTACAAAGCGGAGGGAAACGAAACGAGGTTAGAAAAAAGATGAAGGGGATTGCGAGTTTTGTACGCGGTGTGTGCTGCTACTTTTTTTGTGTTATGGACTGTAAATGCAATATTACACATAATATAAATTTGTAATATTTATGTCATTTTGTTCCTCTTAATCCAAAAAGACTTATTTTCTTTTCTTATTATTCCTGTGAAGTTTAGTAATTAAATCAACAATGGTGAACCAACCGCTACATATTCACATTCACCGCAAATTATAAATGGGTTGGCAAAATCTCAGTATGGGTTGGCATATTTCTTCAGGCTGCTATCTAGCATAGATTTCTAAATTGAATCGCTTATTGCTGAAACAACCTATGAGTGACTTTTTGGCCAATTTGAGTTATCCATGTAAACATACAGTTTCGACGATTCCTCATTGTTTGGTGCTGAAAGAATTTATGTGCTGATAACTGTTACCGAATTACAGCCACGTCGCCACAGCCGTTTACTGCTGAAACATAAGACGCCGACTTAGGTGGTTTCTGTTACAAACGATGGTCCATTAATTACAAGAAGTTGTGAAGGCAAAGTGTATTGGAGCTAGATGCTAGTATGTACTATTTGAGAGATATTTGGATTGCTATTTTAGTGTTCCATTCGCTACATTCTTATTATTTTTAGTTGTCCAATGAAATGCTGTGACGTTGTAAGTAATGCACAGAAGAAATTAATTTTTACAACATTTTATAGTATGAAATCAAAAACTGAGCAAGACATTTATCTGCAAGAGCTGCTACAAGCTACAACTGTAGCCAAAAGACGAAAACGCAAGGAAATTGGGATGAATAGAAATAGATCGCTTCTATATTTTGTTAATATCGAAGAAAAAAGAATAAAGATTTGTCAAGAAGTATTTGCAAGTATTCATGGTATTAGCTTGGAACGAATTAAAAGAATTAAGCGTTTACTTGTGAATGATGAAGTTCCTTGTGATAAACGGGGTACAAATATTAAAGGAAATGTCACTGAAGAAAGTGAAAAAGAACTTATGAGAACTCATATCTTGTCATTCGCAAAGAATCTCATTATTCTGGAAAGAAGTTCTAGTATCTAGATGTACGGCTTAACGTAAAAACAATGTACGAGTTGTTTCTTTAAAAAATTCCAGGCACAACAATTAAAAACGGTCACCATATTAAGTTCTTTCATGACAATTTTAATTTGCATTTTGGCCGTCCCCAAGTAGACGCATGCAACAAGTGTGAGGAATTAGCCCTGAAAATCAAGTGTCCTGAAAA